ATCGTGACCCCTCTGTCATGATATGTATTGTATCGACAAATTCTTGCCAATACACAGCCCTACTGAAAAGTATTTAAAGTGATAAAATTCTAAATGCAAATGTTTAAGGGCTGAATTATAAACATCTTAAACATTTCATGGTTAAATTTCTTTTAGACACCTGTCCCTCAGATGGACAACTATGGATCTTTGGACTTGGATAAACCAGAATGATGATCAGAGAATAATGATTAATAACAGAAATATTACTGATATTTATCAAAAGGTTGTGCAGATTTTTTTAAATAATAACACATAAAAGTCTGCAATTTCATCATTAGTTGAATCTTATTATCTTATATTATTTCACTTAAATATCTAATATGTCTAGTTTTATCCTCCTGAGACCCAGAAGAACCTATTTCAGAAACTTGGAATGTAATTGTGGTGAAGTTGATGAAGTGCATCAGGCCCACTGATTGGTGAGTCTGATGGATAGAGCTTCATCAGAGCTAAACAACAACAGAAATCTGAAGCTTCTGTGTTGAACAGTTTCTGAGTTATAACCATTTTTGCATGTCCTGACACCCCCTCTTTGAAAGGAGCCCCCTCCTCAAATATGGGGTCYATCATAAAACCGTTGGCTGGCGCAGTGCAGGTCAGACTCGTCTACAGTCCTGCCAAATTTCATGTTGATCAGTGCAGCCGTTTTTGTGCTACGGTTGACCAAAAACACTGAGAAAAAAAAAGTACGAAAACAATATGACTTCTGCTTCCGCTTCGCGTGCGGGGGTCATAATAATTGTCATAATGTTAAATTAATACTGTTTAAAAATGATAAATAATAATTAAAGCTGCACTGTTTAATCAAATAAATTGTTAGTATATTTTTATTGTTTCATTCCTAAATTTGCCACATTATTTATTTTATTAAGCCATGTATTTAGTTTTTCTAGCCATTTATATAGTTCCACATTTATTTCCAATTATGACAGTTTAGGTGCTCCATACAGCTCTGTCTCATACTGAGATGGGTAAATCCAGTTCACTTTGTTTTTTTTTTTCAGAAGTGCTTTTAACTGCCAGAGCATCAGTAACAAAATACTGAATTTTTCTGTCCTAAGACTGGAAATTACTTCAGTTTTGTTCAGGCACATGCTTTATCTGTTTTTTAAACTGAAAGCTTTCAGGCCTTGTTTTGCATAAAGTGTTTTGATCTAAATGTTTGTTCGCTCTGCAGAGCATCCATACAGCCATCTGATCGACTCACTGAGAGATGGCAGCATCAAGTTCTTCAATCCACGGAAATTAAATGATCCAAGATATGGTAAGTTAAAGCCCTCTCTCTGGAAACTTCTGCCTGATATGTTTTTACAGTGTTCCTTTAGTCTTTTTAGATGTTGTGGTTTAAAGCTGTTGTATCTCAGGATGTCAGTTTGACCATGTAGCATAGGTTAGGGCTGGGTATTATGGCCAATTCTCTAAATCGATTCGATTTCAGTTCACAAGGTTCTGAATTGATTGATCACAATTCGATTCAAGTTGCTCTTAATTAATGAAAATGGTTCATCTGTGTTGCGAAATACAATGTCTCTTTATTATTTTCTCTTCACAATAAACAACAGATTTTAAAAGGATCCCTGATTAGTTGTAACATTAGACTTTATTTGATAAACATTTATTTTAACTGTAAAATAAAGACTGTAAAAATAC